AAAAAGTAGAAACAGATCCAACAAGATGAACAATACAGTGTTAGCAGCAATGTACTCAAACATAACAACAATCGTGAGGATGACACAGGACTGAGCAGTATTGTGTTCTGTTGTGCAGAAGGTCACTATGAGTCAGAACTGACTGTAGGGTTCTTAAAAAAAACAACATTTTTAATTATGATTCCAGGTGAAAAAGAAACAATCTTAGTTTCTTATCATTGAATTGGCAACCTTGTAGTTCAAAGCAACCTTGAGGTCCAGTGCTTATCCTACAGAGCCACAAATCAATCAAGGTAGAAATGGAAGTCACTGCTTGATACTGCATTTGTTCTGAGAAAACAAAATTTCACCCTGAGTGAAACAAACAGAAAATAGTCAGCATACAGATAAATACTTTGAACTTTCACCTGTACACCAATGACCTTGTCTTTAGGCTTATGATACTGATACCATGGTGGATGAAATAATTATGTGAGAAACTGATGGGTTCCACCTTGGAAAGATTAACTGTAGCCTTGACAACCACCTAGCTGTTTCTTTCAATACCCATTGTATTGGGTGAAATGGCAAGATAGTTCTTCTAAAGATTGGACTCCTTTGTAGTAGCTTACCATTGTGGGCATTAGGGAGGAACACATAATCACCAGCATCATTTAGAATTGCTACAGTATGGTGATAATGGCTTATGCACCCTTGCAAAACTTGGCAACATTCTGAGTATTTTTCCACCATCTCCACTCTAGGTGAGCCCAAGCCTCCAAGCAGAGGTTGAAGAGAACAGCCAACCCTTCTCCTTTCGAAAATTGTCACCAATTGTCATGACCGAATGAGGCCTGTTGGTTTCATGATATCTAATTATGACTATCACCATTTCTCCCTTTCTTTAAAGGCCATTGTTTTAGTGTGGTAGTCAATAACAAACATAAAATTCAAATGAAAATGGAAATAGCCTATAATAGTTTTAAGTCTATATGTCAAAATTGAATCACGCTAAAGGAAACTCATCGACACCCACACCTCCTTTATCAACATGGTTAGGTCCCAAAGATCAGGTGGTTATGTGAAAATTGGCATTATATAAAAGTAATGGACAGTGAATAAGGAAGACCATAGAACTGATGCATTTGAGTTATGATGTTGGAGGAGAATATTGAGTACCATGGGCTGCCAAAAGAACAAACAATCTGTGTTGGAAGAAGTGCAGCCAGAATGGTCCTCGGAAGCCAGGATGGCCAGACTTTGGCTTTCAAACTTTGGACATAGTATCAGGATGGACCAGCCCCTGGAGAAGGACATCAAGCTTGGTAAAGTGGAGGATCAGAGAAAAAGAGGAAGATCCCCAGTGAGGTGGATTGGCACAGTGGCAGCAGCAATGGGCTCAAGTGTAGCAATGATTATGAGGTTGGCCCAGGACCAGGCAGTGTTTTGGTCTGTTGTGCATAGGATCACTATGAGTCAGTACCGACCTGATGGCACCTGACAACAACAACATCATTTCATAACTGCCAAATTATATCATTGCATAGCTGCTAAACCACTGAGAATCATTGCCCAGCCATTTAGATACATAACCATCACAGCCAGCATTATTCTCGCCTCACATCCCAGGATTCGTTACTTCCCATTGTCTATGTGCAAAATAGACAGTAGATTTTTTTTTTACAATCATATTAAAGGCAAGACATCAGATAACATCAAGTAAGGATCAAGTGTATAAGTAAGTCTGATCTTTTAAATATTGGACTTCTAGTAAGCATTTCTTTAAGGAAATGCTTAAGATTTTTTTTTTTTTTGCCCCTATAGACTCAAATTTGCTTTTCATTCTGAATTTTCCTGATTCTTGGATTATAGTCATTCTTTCTGAATTTTTCTCTTGGCCATTGAAGACATAGATTCAGATTCAGCTTGACACTCAATTTTCTCCGTAAACATGGAGAGTCACAGTGTGACAAAAGAAGATCCCTACTACACCGGATCAGAGATGCCTGGAGGCCAAGGGTTTGGTAGATATCAACTTGATACAATAGACCTCTGCCCCAAGTCCTACTCACCCAACTCTGGGTAACTTTGCATCAGCTCTGGGCTCTTTATTAAGATCAGCTGCCATTGATCTGATCTTCTTAACATGGCCTGGACATTCCTTGGCACCCTACTTGAATTTTCTTTCATTATCTCTTTTCTTTATTTCTTTCTTTACCTTCTGTATGGCATAGGTCATATTGTTGTTAAGTGCCATCCAGTCAATTCTGACTCATAGTGATTCTGTATAGAGTTTCCAAGGAGCAATAAACCTCCAACCTCGCAGTTAGCAGTCCAGTGCTTATCCTATAGCACTACACCATGAATCCATGGCATAAGACGAGACCAAACAAAGAAATAAAGGGAGGGTCAGGAGAAAGTTTATCAGGAACGTTTGTGAAGTAACGTACCACAGGAAGAAGGGAAGTGAAGTCACCTATGAAGTTGAGGAAGCTAATATCTTGCCTGGGTTTGGCCTTTCCTCATTGCTGTTTGTTTTGTATCAGAGAGCCCTGTGGGACTGGAAGGGAGAAACGAGACAAACATCCTAAGAACACAGGGCACTGAGAGAACTCACTGGGAGTAACACATTGCCTTGTCATTGTTGGAAGTTTGGGCTGGAGACAGCTCACATAGGGAATCATCATAAAGTTAGAAAGTAGAAAAGCAGAACCCAAAAATGCAAGGAGGAGACTGGCTAATCATCCAGACAAGGGGGGAAATGAAGACTGAAACAAGCCTGAGTGCAGAGTGGGCCAGGTAAGCGAGGCAGGGGTGGGATGGGCTGGATAGCATCTTGGAGCAAATAGAGCCAGCATCAAGGCCAGGGCAGTAAGACCGGGAACCTAAAAGGTGCAGTGGGAAACACAAAACAGTCAGAACTGAAACTGAATCAGAAGGTCTGATTCACGAGCTCCCCAAAACAGATAGAACAGGACTGGAAAACTGAAGATGTGAGAACCATCATGATGTGGCTCTGTAGAATAAGCACGGGATTGCTAACCGAAAGATCAGCAATTCAAGCCCACATCCAGCCACTCTGAGTCATAAAGCTGAGGCTTTGTACTCCCTTAAAGATTTACAGCTTTGGAAACTGTATGCATTGTCACTGAGTGAGTGAGTTCTGGGCAAAGGCAAATGAGAAAGTATTAAGGGCTACAAGGTGGTTGGGCAGAACTTACAAGATTTCAAAAGGTTTGTGTCACTGCAGCTCTGAGCTTCCTAATAGAAGGGCAGACTCAGCCCATTCATTCAGAAAGGGACGTTGCTTACAGGCAGAGAGGAAATTCTTTGGGAGCTTCTGTGGGAGATATGACAATGTCCTCAATCCAAGTTTTATTTTTGTTTCGTTCATTTTATTTTTATTGTAGTAAATATCCTTAAGCATGTATGAAAACATTTGACATTTCAACAATTTTCACATGTGTAGTTCAGTGACGTTAATCATGTTTATCACAATATTCACCCATCATCCCGATCACTTCCCCAAGTATCCCGTCTCCCTTTCAAGTGTTGTAAGAAATGCAAAGACCAATTTTCAGTGGCTTCCTCTTCTAATAAATGTCAATAAAACCCCAGAAGTATAATGTAGGTGTGTAGCACAGTTAAGCCAGAGGATAAACAGCCTGAGTTGGAGATTCGCTGTGTACAAAGCCAAACCATCATCATGAATTTTTTTCCTGAGCAGGGCAGCATTATCTGAGGACAAGGAGTAGGCTGTAAGTGAGGTGACAGGTTGTAACATTAGGGACTCATTTCAAAAACGTCATGATATTGGCTCAGTCCAGCGTCTCTTGGCAAATCCAGCTTCTCTTATCCAATTGCAGCCCCCAACAGAATCCTTCCTTTAGGATGAGAGACCTAGAGGCGAAGAGGGTGAAGGCCTCTGGCTTTGACTTTGCTGCGGAATGAGAAGAAAAGAACTGGAAGGATCTTAGCTGCGCCTGCTCCCTCACTGGACACAGGGAAAACCAAAGAGACTTTGGTCTGTGCAGAAGCAGCGATCTCAGCTGATTTCTTCCCAGGAGCCTCTCTGGGGATTTGGAATTTTCTTGAGGAGTTCAAATTGATTATATTATATTACAATGTAGAGTTAATTGTGTTGTTGCCTTGGAACAACTGACATTCTCAGTCTCTTATCCATGTTGAAGGAAGGTTTATTACTTTTCATCACTTTGGGGCACATATTTTCTCTGTAGCCATAGTCTCACTAAATGTGATGTTGGGATAATTATATGTAATTTTATATAATATTTCCTATGCACTGCATAATTTTAAAGATGATTGTTTGGCACATACAAGCAGTGCCTGGAAACAGCAGTCCATGAAAGAAGAAGTTAGCAAAAGTTTTCATTGTCCCCCTCCCCCAGCTCCTGTAATACCAGTCTACTGTGCTCCTAAAAAATGAATGACATGGTGTTAAATTGGTCTTGAATATTCTAGAACGCATCTCTTCCCACCACCCTCCCTGCGAAGCTCATTGCTGCCACCCAGCTCACTCACATGTTGGCTTTCTGATTGGAAATTGATGGGTAGATTGTTTCTGTTCAGAAAGCCTGCAGCCATGGCTAACTGCACAGAGGCGGCAATGACTTAGTAAGCCAGGGCCAGGCTAGAAGAGGGCAATGGCAGTTCTGACAACATTTCTTAGGCATTAATGATTCTTTGTGGAAGCACGTTTCTAACCCTCTGGTTGTGTCCTGCAGTTGTGGAGGAGTGGCAGATAATAGGTGGGCAGCCCTGGCAGCTCATTGAACCCGTCGATGGATTTCACCCCAATGAGGTAAATGCAGGCGCAGGACAATTACTGGAAGCTACCATATAATAGGTATTTATACATTCCTTGGTGCCCATGGATGGTGCAAATCACTAACTTGCTTGGACACTGACCAAAAGTTTGGTGGTTCAAATACACCCAAAATAAACACGTTGTGAAGAAAGGACTAGCAACCTACTTCTGAAAAATCAGTTATTGAGTATCCTATGGAGCATAGCTCTACTCTGACACACGTGGGGTTAGCATTAGTTAAAATCAACTCCATGACAGTCATCTTTTTGTATATATATATATACACACACACATCTGGAGCTTTGGTAGCGTAGTGGGTTACAAGCTGCACTGTTAACTGCAAGGTCAGCAGTTCAAATCTACCAGCTGCTCCAAGGGAGAAAGATGAGGCTTTCTGCTCCTGCAAAGATTTATAGCCTCAAAAACCTTATACAGGGTTGCTATGAGTCAGAATTGACTCCACAGCACACCACCACTATATATATATGTTGTTGTTGTTGTTGTTAAGTACTGTGGAGTCGATTCCGACTCATAGTGACCCTGCACATGGTTTCTGAGGCTGCAAATCTTTATGGGAGCAGAAAGCCTCATCTTTCTTCCGCTAAACAGCTGGTAGTTTCGAAGTGCTGACCATGAGATTAGCAGCTCAATTCATCACCACTACGCTACCAGAGCTCCTTCCACTATATATATATAACTATATAACTGTATGTAGTGGTTGCGAATCGGGCTGTGAACCACAAGGTCAGCAGTCGAAACTACCAGCTGCTCCA